AAAAAGCCAGCAAAAAGCTCTAATCTCTCGACTCTCATCAATAAGTGAGTTTTCAGGAAAAAAAGGAGTAGAATCTGGCCACCATCTATAACAAAATCTCTAAGAGGATGAACTTCTGCCTTGTTCAGCACAGTGTATGCCAAGTGCCCTGAAGAGGGAATGATGGAACACATAGGTATCAACAAATATTTGTTTAATAGACATACAAAAGAACAAACTTATACCATCATGAGTGACAAGTTCAAACAACAGGACATATGAGGCCAAACTGAGAAGGGGTATAACAGAAGCTTAGCTCTAACTGAAGAAATCTTGGGCCTCCTGGTTCCTCACAAGCAAAGATGAATCCAGTGAATCAAAAGACAAGGTCAGAATTTAGACAAACATATTTTACAATTATCTATTAATTCAGTCCGTACTACTTGGTCATTAAATTTTATATTTTAAAATTAAAGCAACATTCTTCTTTTAAAATTAAGAACATTCTAATATTCTGTATGTATATCTAACCAAAGATAGATTAAAAATTTCCCTCCTTATTGAGTGACTTGTAGCTGACTCAATGCCATTTCTTTCAGAAAGAAAGAATGAGAAAGAGGGAAAGAAAGAAAGAAAGAAAGAAAGAAAGAAAGAAAGAAAGAAAGACAAAGAAGAAAACAGAAAGACAAAGAGAGGAAGGAAGGAAGGAAGGAAGGAAGGAACAAGCAAGCAAGAAAAGCTGTCTGATAGCTCAAGGATTTAGAGTAAACAGCAAGAAATGACAGAAAAATTATAAAATACAAACCACAGATTGCTTCCTTGCTTTTATGCAAACTCAGATGTGCTATGATGGGCTAGAAACTGATTTTTTGTCAAAGCCATTTAAATAATCACTTAGATCTTCTGAAATGTCTTTAACTTTTAATTTGGCACCCCTCATCCTTTATTTGTCTTTCTTTTACTTTGAGATAGAATTCACATACTATAAAAGCCACCACTTTACAGTGTACAATTCAGTGGTTTCCAGTGTATTCAGAGGTGGTACAACATCACCATTTTCTAATTCTAGGACATGCCCATCACCCCAAACAGAAACCCTACACTCACTTTGTCACTCCTCATCCTTCCTGCTCCCATTCTTTGGCAACCATTAATCTATTTCCTGCTCTTTTATATTTTAAAGTTTATTTATTGGGGCACCTGGGTGGCTCTATCAGTTGAGCATGACTCTGGCTTACATCATGATCTCATGGATCAATGAGATTGAGTTCAATCCCCACAAGGGACTTGCTACTGTCAGCACGAAACCCACTTTTGGATCCTCTGTCCCCACCCCCCTCTCTCTCTGCCCCTCCCTTACTCGTGCTCTTTCAAAAAGAAACAAACATTTAGAAAAAAAAGTTAATTTATTTGGGGGGGGAGGGGCAGAGAGAGATGGAGGGGTGGGATAGAGAGAATCCCAAGCAGGTTCCAACCTGTCAGCACAAAGCCCGCCTTGGGGCATGAATCCACGAATCGTGAGATAAGGACCTGAGCCAAAATCAAGAGTCATTTAACCAAATGAACCACCCAGGCACCCCCTGCTCTTTTATTTTTAACATGACCTAGTAATGATTATTACTCTAAGTAGAAAGGGAATTCGGGGGCGCCTGGGTGGCTCAGTCGGTTAAGCGTCCGACTTCAGCCCAGGTCACGATCTCGCAGTCCGTGAGTTCGAGCCCCAGTTCGGGCTCTGGGCTGATGGCTCAGAGCCTGGAGCCTGCTTCCGATTCTGTGTCTCCCTCTCTCTCTGCTCCTCCCCCATTCATGCTTTGTCTCTCTCTGTCTCAAAAATAAATAAAACGTTAAAAAAATTTTTTTTTAATAAATAAATAAAAAATAAAAAAAAAGAAAGGGAATTCAGCACACGAAGCCACCAGTATCTTTTCCTCTAGAAAACACACATTGCACACTTCATTACTGACAGTGGATTACTCATACCATACTTGATAAATGTCCTCTCCTGAGTGGTTATAATCAACTAAGAAAAATAAGTGCAACTGACAATAAGTGCTATCAGTTAGCAGAATGCATTTCAGCTTCAACTTTCTTAAACATAAGATGTTCACTTTTAATTCATCTACATACCCATCTCCCTCACCCAGACACATATTGAGTAACTGCTATAATCTGGAATCCAGCGAGGTGACAAAATTGAGAAGAGTGAAGGAAAAAAGCCACCATCTCGGCATTCAAGGAGCTCAACCATAGGAGCCAAAATATTTGAAAGAGTCAGACTGAGAAGAAAATAAGCAATAAAAATACAGTGTGATAAATCTGATACCAGATGCATGCAGAAGATGTTATGGGAATACAAAGGAAGAATACAGCTCAGTGAATGTGGAGGAAGGGCAGGTGTGGGAAGCAAAGACCAAGTTACACTGGGCTTGATCCCCAAGAATAAGAAGGAATTTTGTCAGGTGGGAGATTGGGGTTCTAGGAGTACAAAGCTAGAGAGCACAGAGAGCGCAATAATAACTTCTGGGGACATCCACAGTTCAGAACGGCTGCAGTTGAGGGATGAAAGCTGGGGCTGGCAGGTTGCAGGCAGGGGTCAGATCACACTGTGTATTAGAGCTCACATTAAAGAATGCGTATTTTACCTCACAAGAAATGGGAAGCTAATCAACAATTTTAACCAGAGAACTCAAAAGCTTAACTCTGGTCACAGTGCAGAGAAGGGCAAGACGAGGGGAGATTAGCAGACCAGTTAAAAGCCATGTACTGCTGGCTGGGAGAAGATGCGATGTATCTGAGGTATTTGGGATAATGACAAGTTTTGGGTGTGGAGGGTGAAGCAAAAAGCTTCCTTCACAGCCAAGCTCCTTCAAAAGTATAGCTCATTTTATCCACTTCCTCTTCCATTCATCTTACAACTTTTAAATCTTGTTTAGTTGAATAAGTA